GAGAGAGAGAGAGAGAGAGAGAGAGAGAGAGAGAGAGAGAGAGAGAGCGAGAGAGAAGGAAAGAGAAGCGTGCACGTCCGTATGCATGCCGTCGTAAAAACGCAACAGTATGAAAATAATAATATGAAATGATTCGGTGTGTTTTTATTGAGAGCAATTGTGATGAGCAATATATTCAGCACCTCTGAAGCACCCAAAACGGCATTGCATTGCTCAATTCGCAATTAAATTCATTTACTGTATAGAGATATGTGTGTCTATATATTAAATTGAAGTAAATTTCGTTCCTGTGAGGTCCGATGCAAATGTTACGTTTCTATGTTTCAGCGCAATGCAAACAATTTCCACGTTTCATGTGCGAAAAGAGAAAGAGAGAAAGTCAACGAAGCTATCATCGTGAATTACGGTAGTTAATCGTTTTAAAGTTTTCTCGCAAATATTTTGGCAATGCGGTGGGATTATAGATGGTTCTGAGGATTACACGGCAAATGCAATGCGTTACGATTTCGATGCCATATTGATGAATTACTCAAATTGTTACCGTGCTACTGCTGCTACTGCTGATGCTGCCGTTTTCCGTGTAGTTCGTTTGATAGTGAGAAAGATAGAAAGTGAGGGAGTGAAAGAGTCGAAAACGCGCGCGGTGCCACAGCACATACTTACTCGTCGTTTTAATTTATATAGTACACAATTGGTATTAGTAGCACATCAGTTTGGGATGACGATTTCGTACATTGAAGATGTCTTTATCCATCCATCAGTATATCTGTAATCATTATTGTATTTATATTATACAGTAACAGTAACTCTCGCTCACAGTCATATTAGTTTAGCTTTGGTCTCTGTATTCGACTTCTATGGGACAGAGTTACGAAATACGACAAAATATAATGTTATATCAAAACGTCAACAATGCAAATTTTATTGATCTATTTGCTATATTTGTATATGCGAGAAACTAAAGCGCGTTATTCTTTCTCTATTTCGCTTTGATTTGTTTTATTTTTCATTTTCTTATCTCATCACATTTTGCAAATTGCTTGCACCAGGAAAATTGGTTGTGTGTGGGATGTTTTTTTTTCTTCTCTGCACTCTATCTTCCTGTTCTGCCTTCTGTTTGTTTTGATGACATATCGTGTGACTTTTGATTCTACAAATATATCAAATATATTCAGTACAACAAATAAAGCAGATGATCGAAACATTTATAGTCTTTTCCTCTGCTCACACAAGCATACACACACACACACATAACGCACACTCACATAGAGTCAGAGCCGAAGCACGAAAGCATACCGACAGAAATATAATACAATATTTGCATTTTGAGGCGCAGCATAGCTCTATGATGACAGTACATACCATATAAACCATTGAAAATCCAAAAATCAATTAACATAGAAAATTTTGTTGCGAAAAGCCCACAAACGGTTAAAAGCGCTTTTACTCTCGCATCAATTCGATTCTCTGGATATGAATGTATGTGTTTTCCTGTGCTGCTACTGCTGCTGCTTGAGTTTTCAGTTTATGTTTCTATTTATGCGCGTATCTCTCTGTTTGTGTGCATATGTATTGCATATAATGAGGGATAATTAGTTTTGCTTTAATTATTGATTGTGTGAATTATTTGAGGGAGCGAGAGATTAATTTTTGTTTGATTGATTGCTTACGTTGCTTTGCTTTTTTATTCGGGACTCAATTGAAAGTGCACCATGCTATTGATTATTTTTCCGAAATTCGCAATAAAGAATCAACGAAAATAAGATTTAAAAAAAACAACTTATTTTCGAAAACAGGTTGTTTCCTTTTCCGATTAGATGAATAGCTCACTTTGTATTTTCACAATGGATTCAATTACTGATAAGAGCAAGCAAAACAAAACATTCAACTCACACGATACACCAAGAATATCTAATCGTCTTATTCATTTATAGATGCAGTGCATAATTCATAATCAACTAAAAACGCTATTAAAACCAACAGTAATAACAACAAAAACCACAACAAACACTTCAAATCGTAAATGGATACAGGGTCTACAAAAAATAAATAAATATTAGTGATTAGGTAAAAAATATAGTTCGGAGTAAAATATAATTTATTAAAATAAAAACAACCGTGATAGTCTCTAAATTTAGTTCGTACATTTGTACCGAAAACCGTTTTTTTTTTTTCTAAACGTGAAACGTGAAAGAAAAAGTTAACGAAAACGAACGAAAACAAAAAAAAATATAATTATAACATAATGATTTCGACCAATCCAAATTCAATATTCGTACGGCAAGTGTTTTTTAGCTAAATTATATTCCGTGTTATTGAATTTAAAAAAAAAAAGGAAAATTTCGATAGAACGAGCAAAAAAGGAAGAAGAAAAAATTATTCGAAATAGTTTTCTTTTTCATCTTGGTTAAGTGGACATGGAATACAATGAACCGTTGAATTTGTCCATAAAAAAGAAACCAATTGCCGTGGTCACGCCATCGTCATCAAATAAAGTTGATATTGGTGGCAATTTCGGGAGCGTATCGAACGATGCCGACGATCCAAGTGAACATTTAGACACATCGTCACCAAGTGGTGTTAATGAAAGTGATAACATGAACCAATCTTCGCCACCCGTGCCAAATACTGACGATACAAATGCATGCACTGATTCGGTTTCGGTATGTGTGCTTTTATATTTGTAATCCGTCAAATGTGCGGTGATTATGATGATCATCATTGCATATTCGGTGTTCTGCATACTGTGCTTTCTGTCACAAAATGGCAAATGTTTTCAATTAAAACTCATTTTCCATATTGAATGGTTATTTTCCATATTCTAGGCAAAACGGTCAAAATCACCGATCAAACATACACCGAATGCGATGAATGAAGCGGACGAATCATCCAATTCATCGGCGCATAATTTAAGTTTAGTTAATTTATTGTATGGCAATTCAACGACATCACTGAATGCAGCTGAAATGCCACCACGATCACCGTCTGTTGGTGGTTTGTCCACGTATGCATCGTCACAAACAAGCACATTGGCACAAACCCAACAACAGCAACAACAACAACAATCGCCCTCACAATCAACATTGAGCACATCCATATTAGAGGCCACCAATTCACTCAATAACTATTTGAATCAACAGAAATCGCTGGGCATTGCAAAAATGCACTTAGAACGTTATTTAAAAGTAACCAATCAATATTTGCATGCAACACTTGACGGCGCCAATTTAACATCAAACGAACAAATCAACCATCTGATTCGCACAAATATATTGACCAATAAAATTGCCGCAAATAATCTCATTTCAATTATCAATAAATTGCTTGAACAAAATATTATATCCGAATATTATTTCAAGCATGCGAGTAGACTGATGATGCAATCATATGAAAATGTAACAGCAACAGCGGCCGCAACAGCTGCTGCTGCAGCGACTGCAAACTTTTCCGACACAAATTTGATCACCAATGACAAAGACATTGCATTCGATTTATTTGATAAGAATAAATTATCGCCGACACAAAATACAACGGCCGGCGTTCATCAAACATCAGAATTGTTAAAGGAATTGATCAAACAACGTGAAATGAGACTAAATGCTGAATCACAAGATGATGATGGTGATATTAGCGACAATGAATTAAATGATAATAATCCACACAAAATGGAATTACTCGATTATGATGATACGATAAAGAAGGAAACAATACCAGTGCATGCAAATCCATTTATGTCATATTTGCATATGCATTTGAATCGCAGCTTAGATAAAGGTAAAACGGATAATAAGTACTTTAATGGAGCATCGATTGCCATACCAAATTCAGTCAGTCCAACTGATTCGACTTCATTGTCACCGCTTATTGCGCCCATCGAAACCAAAACGAAATCACATAAAAAACGTGCCAACCATCACACCAGCTCAGCCAATAGTTTCACTAACAATAACAATAATAATACTCATTCAAAATCGTCGTCACGTAGTTCGCGATTCGATCTAGCATTAAATCTCAGCCAAAGGTTACTTTCTTTTACAAATTTTGAAGTGAAGAAAACAACACTATTCGTCTTCAATTCTCAGTTGTTTTTTTTTGTTTCGCTTTTCCAATTCGTTCATTTTTTTTTCGTTGATTTATCTACTTCTGTTGGTTTTTCGTTTAACTTTTTTTCCCCATTTTTGTGGTAAATATGATTTATTTGAAGAAAACCATTTAAGATTGGAAATATACTAATTGTTTGCATTGACTTCGATTTCAGAACTGCATTGGATCAACAAAAGAACTCACCAAATAATATGCACATACAGGTTTGTACTTTAGAAGGAATTTACTGATTTTCAAACAGAAATTGACGATAAACAAAAACGCAAAAATTCCATTTTGATTGGATACAAAAACCTGTATCTTTAAAAAAATGAAAATCGTTGCTTGCGTTGTTTTTCTCGGCCAATTTACTTTTGATAATTTTGAAATGTTTTACGCCGCTTTGACGAACAAATGAAATTAAATCGTTGATTTTGTTTAAATTGATAGCAGCAACCACACCAGCCCCACCATCACAGTCAACAGCCGCAGCATCAAACTCATCAGCAAACGCATCCCCAACACCATTCTCATCATCAACAGTCCCAGTCACATCAGTCACAGTCGACTCATCAATCACAGCAGGTATGGTTGATTTGATTCTTTTTTCGACGATCGAATTTCGAAAAACGAATGCCGTGCGATATTCGATGCCATTTGCACAGAAAGCTCATGTTTTTTTTTTAATTCGCTTTAGGAACAAATCAACGAAAAGAAGAAACCACATATCAAAAAACCATTGAATGCATTTATGTTATACATGAAAGAGATGCGGGCTAAAGTAGTAGCCGAATGTACGTTAAAAGAATCAGCGGCCATAAATCAAATACTAGGACGACGTGTAAGTATTTGAAATTCCAAAGCAATTCAACCAGTTCCTTTGACTCACCCATATACATACTATTTCAATTCCCAAAACAATCATCCATAAATCCATATTATAAATCCCATCAACACCAATATAAAACAACAACAAAAATTTGAACAAAAAACAACATCCAATTTTTTTTTTCAAATTCCCAAAACGAAAAAGACAATTTTCGGAGTTGAACGAACCGCGTGCGATTTTTTGAAATAAAATTTTTTTTTGTTACATTTTTTCAAAGCAAAAATTCGGTATATAATTCATACTTTTTTTTTTGTTTCCAAATGAACATAAATCAGTCATTTATGAAACGCTTCTAGCGATTTGATTTATATCGTATTCACAAATACAATTTTAATTTGTTTTGTTTTTATTTTGAAAATGAAGAAATTTTTCCGTTCGTTCAATTTTCGAGAGCTCCACCGCAAATAAATAGTAAAAAAAATGAGTTACAAAAAAATAGTTTGTGTTTTGGACCCACGTATTCAACTACCATTCTGAGTAATGCGAATAGCTTCGAAATTTAACTTACAGAGAAAAGAAATGATAGATGCAAAAGCGTGACATTCTTTGCATTGTATTGCTTGCGTGATTTATTATGATTTTGTCGACACATTTGCGCGAATACATAAAAAAAAAATCATTTTTAATCCAAATGATTGAAAAATGTCTATACATTTACCCTTAAACACCCACCGAATTTCCGCACGAAATGGAAGCTTCACTCAATCAAAAATTGTCGACAACCTTGGGAAAACAAAAATTCTCTACTACTTTAAAAAAAATAGAACATTTTTGTTTTTAATCTATGATTAGGGATTTTTTTTTGATGATTTTAGTTGTTAATTTGAACAATAACTAGAAAAAAAGTTCATTTTTTTCTTAATTATGATTTTTCTTTTCTTACATATCTGGTTTCGTCGCATTTCTGAAATCCCCTCATTTGTGTACGGTATTCAAACGTTATTTTTCTAATACAACCGCTAAACTGGTGCTTATTGCAAATTTGATCAAAAAACAAAAATTATCAAACATTTGCAAAACAAAACTCTTAAATCGCGAACCGCCAAACAAATAATAAACCGAAAATACACGAACACGAAAATTTAAACCAAAAAAAAAAAACAAAAAAATTGGAAACAATACACGCACACATGCACACACACACAGTGGCACTCACTCAGTCGTGAAGAACAAAGCAAATACTATGAAAAAGCAAGACAAGAACGTCAATTACATATGGAATTGTATCCGGGTTGGAGTGCTCGCGACAACTATGGTTATGTTTCAAAGAAAAAGAAACGCAAAAAAGACCGATCGCCGGCAGATTCGGGAGGTATTGTGACACAAGACTTATATTTTGTTTGTTTGTTCGTTTAAGTTTTGTTTCATTTGTTTTTTTTTTCTTGTACCGAGTGAAGAGAAGGAAAAAGAGAAAGAAGATTGAAGAAAAACGAAATAAAATTTTCGAAGCAAATTTTTTACGCAAAAAGTTCAGTAGGCTAACCAAAGCAGCATAGAGTTTATATTAATTTTTTCCGTTAACTAAAAAGAAATTGTTTGATTTTTTTTTTTGTTATTTTTTTTTTTTAACTAGTTTTGATAGTATTTTTTTTTTTGTTAACATCGCTCGATATCGATTGCACTATTTCTATTCAGCATTCGAAATTTGATAATATAGTTAATACGTACAAATTCAACTCATTAAGTAAGGCAATTCAGTTAACAGTAACAGTATAACCAAAAAAAAACCTACAATGTTTAGTGCAATTTGTTGAATAGATTAAGAAATTCGATTAAGAGAGCTTCCCAATCGCAGCACATCAAATGGGCATAACTTGACCAAAAAAATGAAAAACGATACAAATCAAAAAAAAAAATCCAATTTTACATGGCAAATTGATATCAGTGGTGAAAATTGTGAATTTTATTGTTTTGAATTATTTCTATAAGTAAACCAAAAAAAAAAAACACGGATATTTGATTGGAATGGTCTGATTTTATTTGTTCTTGCTTTTGGTTTTCCTTTTGTCATTTAATTATGTACAACAATTGGCATATTTTATATATCGAATACCATCATCGTTTTACTGCCTGTCGTTAATTAGGTGAAACCATTTTCTAGGCTCAAATTGTGCTCACAGTTCACAATCAGAACTATTTTTTTAATAAAAAAATCAAAAATTTTAATAAAAAATGACGAAAAAACAACATTAACAACAACAACGAATATTCATGATAACAAAAAGGATTGCACATAACACTAACACGCCACATACAACACAATAGAGTTTATTCATAGAGTTTATCTATCGAAAGGAAGATTGATTTTTTATGTTCAGTTTCAATTCGACAGATTCAGAAAAAAAGAGAGTAAGAAAATCAGAAGGACATTTGTTTATAGGTTAAACATGAAAAACCGAAATTGTACAGAAAAACAATATTGACAATTTGAAAAACGTTCTCAAACTAGAAACAGATCCATTAAAGATTTGACAATTACAATAAAAAAATAAATTGCCTCGAGCCGAAATTCATCGTCGAAGCGCCACACCAAACATTTTCCCAAAGCATAAAAAGCACCGAATCCCAAGGCATTTTTTTCACACGTGTGTTCAACAACGGTGCCGTGTCGAAAACAACAACACGATTTGACATGATAAAAACAAGTCAATGTCTATAGAAACATTTGATAGATATTCTTTATTTTCTCATAATTTAACGTTGAAAGTGTACAAAAACAACAACAAAAATAGACAGTTTCCTCGGTTAATTTTGTGGTTGATTTTTATTTTGTTCGTTCGTTTGGTAGACGGATTGTACACTTTCAATAATTCGACAAACGACAAACTTTTGCGCGGTTTGAATTGAATTGGAAATCGTATCACAACTGTTGTTTTGTATTGAAAGTCCATTGAATTATCATAATTTGCGACAATAGAAAAAAAAACTAACAGAATGCAAATCATAAACACCCATGGAGTTGAGAAACAAACAAAAAAATCATGGTTTCCATCAAACAACTATTTGCCCATTGGCAGCATTGAAATTTTCGTTTTGAGGAGAGAAAAAGAGAAAGAGCAAAAACAAACAAACAAATGGTGCCAAAAGAATGCATAATCTAAAACACATCCTATTTTTGGTGAATTGAGTGTTCAATTGATGTTCAAAAATTTTTCTAAATTCCAATATGAAAATTAATCTCGTCGCAATTTGAAAGTCGATCGAGAATTCGATGTAGATCCAAATTCGAACAAAAAAAATCAAATTGAATTTATCGTAACAATAACACTCAATATGCTAACCAAACAATTATTATTTACATGGAGAAAAGTCACATTCACAACAAAACAAAAAAATAAATAAATAAATTCTGAATCTATTTAAAAAAAAAAAAAAAAAAAAAATAGAAAAAATTCACAATGATAATTAAAACTTATTTAAATTTCAACAACAAAAACCAAAAACATAAACGGTGATGTTGCATAATACTTGCGCGTACAAACACACATACACACACACTCACAGTGGCATGCATTGGGACGAGAAGAACAGGCTAAATATTATGAATTAGCAAGACGTGAGCGACAATTGCATATGCAGATGTATCCCGATTGGAGTTCACGGACAAATGCTTCACGTGGCAAAAAACGGAAACGAAAGCAAGATTCAAACGATGGAGGTAGTTACTGCTAATAAACAAACAAACAAAAAAAAACAGATAAATTTGAACAAACCAAAAGGCTTCTGAAATCAATTTTTTTTAAAAAAGAAGAAGAACATTCTTAAATGAATAAGAGTAACAACAAGAACATCAACAAATGGGAGTTTACTAAAGCTCTTTTTGCAAGAAAATACACACACACATCCTATTCTCACTGCATTTAAACATGATTTTGTTTCCTTTATCTCCTCATTTTCTTTGTTGAATTTTGTTTCGTTGTTTGTGTTCGACTGTGATGAGTCGGAAAACTAATGAATATTTTACTCGAGAAAAAAGTCTCTTTCTCTTCTCGCGATATCGTCCAACTGATAATTCGCAACACTAAACGAACCAATTCTTTTTCAACCATACGAATTCGAATGAATCGCTTCGAAAAATTCAAAGTGCTTGTCATGTTTTAACCGCTTTTTTTTACATTTCTTAATATCATAAACAATTGAGGTAGTGGCACATAAATCTTTTCATTTCGTTTCTAATTGGCCGAACTAAATCGAACACGACCAGAACAAAAATAAACTATAATTTGCTATGCAAACTCATGCATGATACGAACATATAGTTGAAAAAAAAAAAAAACAACAACATCAAATAATTAAAATTTGCTCATGTCATCATATTTTTTTTTTTTTTGGTTGAATGTCTAACTCATGTTGCATAGTAAAACATGGTTTTTTTTCATCAACTAAGTAATTTGCCGTTCGATTTGAAATTAAAAGAGAAAAAAACTCTTTGTGCACTGCCAAACATTTAATTAGGGTTTTCAATTCGATCGATTTTCTTTTCTCGTTGAATTTTGGATTCTACATACTTTGCAATATTTCACTGTGATTGTTGAATCCAGTTTTATTTTCCATTTTAGTCTCTTAGATTGTAAATAAAACAAGGTGTTTTTGTTTATGTTTGAATATTTCGCATTTTCTGGCTTTTAATCTCCACCTTTTTTCTTGTGTTTCAATGCTTTTAATCATTTTATTCAAAACAACATCACAATTTTCACAATGAGAAAAAAAAATGAAATTGAAATTTGAAGAACAAATAATTTCATTTCAATTTATATCTATCGTTCATTTGCCATTTCAATTTGATTTAGCCAAACACATTGAATAAAAAAAGAAACAAATTGGATTTTTTCCGTTCTTTTGATACTTAATCGAATCGAAATATGTCCACAGTCGTACATTCTTTTTGGCATTTTAGAATTACGAAGAATTCTTCAGTTTGCGACCATTTTATTCATTGAAAGAAAAAAATGGTAGCAAAGTGAAGAAAAAAAAATAATCAAAAAATGGCGGACTGTTTCGTTTCGATTAAATGTCACTCTTTTCATTTTTTTCAAAAAGAATTCATTATATGATTCAATGATAGAGACAAACGCGTAAAATGTTTAGGAATTGCGGATGTGCAGAAGACATCTTATTATGTTGCCGAAGAAGAGAATGAAGAAACCATCATCTGAATTCCGCATCCACCTAAAATTCAACCGTGTCTTTACTCTCATCAACTTTTGTTCGTTTTTCTTTTAAATGCTTATCAACATTTACATTTTTTTCGTGCAACATAATAATTGTTTATGCCATCTAAAAACTTATTATTTTTTTCTTCTCTTATATCGATTGGGCTGGAAACAAATTCAAAATCAAAAAAAAAAAAAAAACTAAAAAAATCAGGCTAAAATTTTGTTCAAACAATTTTTTTTAAATCTAAGTTTAATCTATTGAATAAGTAAGTTATCTTAAATTGCATAAAACTGAGGTAAACTAAGTTTATAAGTTAGCTTTATTACATTTCTTAGTTTTTCTTTTACATACAAAAACAATACTGCAATTATTGTGTAATATTAAACATTTGAGAATGATCGTTAGGCACTAGTGTATACAGTAGAAAAGTGTAGAGATTGCTCATTTCAATTGCTAATTCAAGAAACTAATACGAAAAAATATTGTTTGCTTGTTCCATTTTATCCACTGAAAATAGGTAATAACATGAAAAAATGTCGGGCCAGATTTGGTTTAGATCAACAAAATCAATGGTGCAAACCATGCAGGTAAGCCACATTTCATATTTTATTGGACTGAAAAACAATTTAAAAGAAAAACACACACAAATGCAGAATCTATGAATTTTGCAATAAATAAATCCGCATCAAAGTAATTTTGATATTTTATTATCGCTAGCATCGAAAATTGATTAATAATATCTTTTTTCATCTCTATTCGCTTTCTATCTATTTTTGCTCGCTCGCTCTTTCTACTCGTGTTTTTTGAAAACGAAACGATCACCATTTCCTACCCTTAAAAACCTTGAATATGCGTCGAAAACACATACACACACCCGATTTTGAAACGAACATGAAATTTAGTCCGAATTTACCGCCAATCACATCGCCAACCGGGTCATTGATTGGTGGCATAAACAGTGGTGGTGTCAGCAATGTCGGCAGCATTGGGATCGGTGTTACATTGATGCCCAATTCAACGGCATCGTTGGCCTCGGTCAGCGGAAGTCATTTACAGGTTAGCGGTGGTAATCAAGTGGGACCGCAAGCCTCACCACAAGCGCCTACCTATGTAAATTTATAGGTGCGATGAGTACAACAATTGCAACAGCAACAACAACAAAACCAAAAACAACTAGAACAACACAAGATGCACATTAATTCAAATAATCCAATCGACATAATGCTAAACACCATTCACGTTAAAATCAGTGGGCGGCGACAGTGCGGCATCGCTTTTATCATCTCGGAATTTGTAAAAGTTATCAGTTGCCAAAATATTTAAATAAATCATCAACACAGTTTACATTTAAGCACCTGACGGCCACACGAACAATATAATGAGAGAAACAACGTTGGCCAAATTCAAAAATCAAGTTATACTTTCTTTTCTTCTTCAATTTTTGTAAACGTTTCACGAGTAGAAATGGCCATGGACATTTCGGAACATTCTAAATTATACACACATTCGCGAACAATTGGCATTTGGAGCATTTTAGTTCGTCGATTATAAATCAAATAAAGCATCAAATTTGATCCAAACAATTTTCGATGGAAATAAAATTTGTCATCGTGTCGACTCGAAGACCATTTGAAAATGTCGTCAATGAATTTGCACATCCAAAAACTAGCGGCAGCACCAACAAAACATGAACAACCGATTGGGCTACAATTTGGATCATCACTTTCATCATCACAACCGAATCGAAATGAAGCAGAAACAAGTCAGTTTCACTCGAAAGCATGCCATTTAAATCCATTCCCACACTTGTTTTCTTTGAGAAAAAAAAGCTTTCTTCGATTTCACTTAATTTCATTTTTAATACAATTTATATTCGGTGTTGTGATTTTTTTTTTCTTTTTAAGTTTCTAAAAAGATTTTTGATTTGCTTTTCTTTTAATTTGAAATGGTTTTACTTCTTGATGTTGTTGGTTTTTTTTTTTTTGAATAATTCTTGATTTCGTCTGGATTTTCTTCTTTTGAAGGTGCATTCTGTGAATGCTGATCCATTGTTGGCTTCTATTTTTCGGATGATCATGATAATTCCGAAATGAGGAAATCTCTTTGTTTAATTCGATATTTAGTTGGTTTTTCAACATTGTTTTGGTGTTTATGTTTTTTTTTTTTTTTTTTTTGAAATGAAAAATACACAAAATGTTTGATTGAAATTACGACTTTGTTTATTTTATTTTTAATTTTTTAATCGATTATGCATGATCTACTAAATATGTTTGCGTTCGCAACATTTTTGTTTTGCTGTTTACAATCAAATTTTGATTTAATTGGTAATTAATTTGTTCAGTGTGTCGTTTTCGTTTCATTAAACCAATCGTTTTTATTTTAATTTTCTTTTCTTTTATTTATGCAATGATTTTTCATAATTCATTTTTTTTGTGCAAACTTTTCTGTGAAGCAATTATTAATGTTTCGTTAATATTTTCTTTTCATATAATTGTCAAAAAAATTAATCGTTTTTCTTTTGTACATTTTCAATTGCAGGCGAAAAAAGAAGTGTATTCGATATATGGAAGGCGATAATGATGAACGAACAAATGATGGTGATGATATGCGCGGCGGTAATATATCCGATGATAATTTGGGTAGTTGTGGTAGCGTTGATGATGTTAAAACCCCGCCCGAAGATGACATGGAATCGTTGAATCATTCGCTATCAAGCCCGGGCGCATTCAGCGGCCTATCCTATCTACAAAGTCCATCGACAAATTTGGCAAGTCCATTACGAACGAATTCTATACTGTACAATAGCAATAATCTGAGCCAAACTCACACCGAAAATAGCCATAACAGCGTCAATGATAGTAACAACAACAACAATCCAAACAATAGCACCAATAGTCATAACATAAGCAGCATCATCAAATGATTGTTTCCTTCACACTTTTATTAGTTTTTTTTTTTTGTTTGTTAAAAATGAAGATGAGAAATTTGTGTGAATATGAACTGAAAATGGGAGTGTTGTTTTTTATATAAAAAAAGTTTAAATTCTATTCTTAATGTGATGTGTTTTATACGCGTTACTGGATAAGAGCCACCACACACATATATTTATAAACACTCCGCGAACCAAACGAAACAAAACAAAAATTGAATGCATTTTGATGTGAAGCCATCTATCATCTCGGCCTCAATAACCCCATGCTGATGTTTTCTTGTGTAATTGTGTGTGTATAAAATTATATGAAATGATATAAAGAAAAGGAGGATTTTTTTTAAATAAAACAAATCGCACGTGATTGCAATTCAATGTGCAAAAAGCAAACACAGAGAAAAAGTATGTGAACAAGTTTTAGAGATTTTCAATTCTAAGAAGCACTTGAGCGCTTTGTTTGTTTGTTTTTTCATAAATTACCAACGCTAATTATCAATAATTTGATTTTCGAATCATTCAATTTACGAATATCCATTGAATAGTTAGCAAACATCGAAATCAAAAAGTTAGAGACGAACCCATAGATGTGTTTAAAACGATGAAATTAATTTAAACAAACTGAAATATAGTTTATTTAGGGCCGAAATGCTTTACAACGACACAAACCAAACGACATCTGTGACAGTAGTGAATTCGTCAATTTTGCGTATTGTTTCGATTGAAATTCGAAAGACTATCTCTATTTCAAACTTTCTCATTAAATTTTCGTGATATAAATATAAAAGAAAATACCAAGTCACTCAGCGATCTCTAAAAAAAAGAATTTCTATTGCGAAGCACCTTCAATTTATTTAGGCTATTTTTCGATAAGAGCTTTTGATTTTTGCCTTTCCTCTTTCTATCACTCCTTCTCTCTCTCTCTCTCTCCTGCTAAATTCCATTTTTTTAAATGCTAACTCTCTGTCTCTAATTGAGTTTTTTTTACAAAGTTTCGTTTCGTTTATTTGATTTTATTTTTATTTTTTATACAGGGTGATTTCATTAGAACAAATAGTACATCAAACAGTCCAATAAGAGGGGGCAAAGCTTAAGCTACACACACAAACCTTCATTTTGTTTGAACAAAATTCATCGTAATCATTCGATTCGAATCGAAAGAAATGAAAAACCCTTTGCAATTCGAGCATACACACATACACACACACGCACATCAATCGTGTTTATCGCTTTTCCCAGCACTCACATCATCTATATATACATCTTTATATATATATATATTTCTCACAAAGAACGAATATCTGTTTTTATTTTAAATATATATCTCTATTCTATTAATTATATATTATAGCACTATACATAAGGATATTATTCGTTTTTGTTTGGATACAGTCGATGATTTAGTTTCGTTTCGATCATCAATCAAAACAATATTGTCAAACCAAACAACATTTTGGTTTTTGTTTATTTTGGCATAAAACTGCTACTGGCACAGATGTGGTTTTTAATACAAAGAGTGTATTTTACGTTTTATTTTTATTAAATTTCTAAAAAAAATAATAATCTGAAAATCAAACAAACAACCGACACATTTTGAATTGATGCAATTTAAGGTGAACATTTTCCAATAAATTTTGGCATGAATTTAAAAGAGAGAGATATATAGAAAAAAAAACGCGCGTTAATAGAAAAGAAAGTCCACATTGCGGTGCATTTATTAATATTATGTTTCAATTCTAATTTTTTTTTTTTTCTAAATTACCAAAATGCAAAAATTGTTTATAATTTACAAAGGGCACGTTCGCTGCATAAACAATGAATAACTGCATAGACAATTTGGAAACAAACAAACAAATATGTTGTTTTTAATTTTATAATTTGTGATTCAAATTGACTTAGAACGATTTTTTTTAGATTTTTTTTTTATTTTTATCCGTCACCCGAAATCTATTTACTGGCGTGACACATATTGAGAAGAAAAATTTATTTTGTTTATTTTTTTTTATTGAAAATGTTCAGAAAATTATTTTATGTTTTTTTTTTTTTTTTGAAATTTTGTATGTGTGAAAAAATGAAATGGAAATTCTCCTGATAGAGAAATCTCAACCCGAAATGCATTTTTGCGATGCAATAGCGTGTCATTGGCGAACGATTTTTTTTTATAGGAATTTTAAAGCTTTGTAGTTGTCCACTTTTTAAAGCTTAAAATTCGTGTGCATTTCATAAGTGACTCTTGATGAGTCTGTCGATGATTGCATTTACTAGCCGTGGTCATTGTATGCAGATCGATGCAATTTTTCGTTCCCATCCGCAAATTTACTCTTTTCGAGTCGGGCGACCGCCTTTTCGCTAAAACTCTCAATACCAACGGGAGAACATTCGAATGAAATACACACATACACTTTCAATGGACAAATCTTTAGATTTATATATATATAGTACGATCAATGTGGTATTTTAACACACAAACACACTTCCTTCTTCCGAAAAGAGAAAAAAAATGAAAACAAAGTGAAAATGATGATTGAAACATTTAGCTAAACTAAAAATAAAAAAGATTTAAAAAGAAAAAAAAAACAAATAACAAAAAAAAATAAATAGTGCAATTTTAATGGTTTTTATTTTTTAAAAACAAAGTGTATATGTATCATGTAAATGTATTATTTTCAGTTTTTACCATAACAGAGAAAAACAAATGAATGAACAAAGCAAAATAAAAAAAAAATCCGAAGAGGGTACATTTGACAAACACAACATGCATTATCATAGGATAAAAAAAGACGAATTTTGTTTGTTGGATCTATGTGAGTTGACGTGATGCCAAAATCCAAATTATCCGAAAGTAATCAGTGTAGCAATTTTAGTGCATATCATGTACGGTCACCACTGTTGTTCATACCAAAAGCCAGTTTTAATTTTTTGAAACAAGTTTTTCTTCTCGAAATCTGGCCTAGTTCTATCGTTTGAAGTTATGGAATTGGATATATTTAACACATCCACAGTCAATCTGCATAGACTCATACTGACAGAAGTGGCTACGTAAAATCAATGATTTTTTTCATGACATCAGTAAAAAAAAGTTTCATCGGAATTGCAAATAAATTGCATTAAACAATGCAGTGTATGCGTTGCATTCTCTCACTTTGCTGATTGCATGCCAATATCATTGACTTTATAATGCATTAATTCGGCCAGTGCATGTAAGAAAAGAAACCGATAACTTTTCTTTTTCTGAATTTATAAGAGAGAAGTAGAACCATAACACACACACACACACACAAAATGATAAGTGAAGAAGAAGAAGAAGAAGAAATAAATACAAGAAAATGATAATGATTTAAATTAGTTGACTAAATTTAAGTTAGAATGTTATAAGTTGATACAAAAATGAAAAAGAAACATTAATCAGAACACAAAAAAAATGAGAAATAATGAAAATGCAGATGAAATAGAATAAAGAAAATGAACAAACACAAGAAAAACTAAAATCACGACATACTATTTTTTAGGTAATATATAATAAAAGTATATTTACATGATAATTGATGCAGAATAAATAAATAATAAAAAATGCATAGAATAGATGTTCGTTATAAGGATCTATATATACAACTTTTTAGTTTTAAAAATTGCTGTACTTTAAAAGAATGGATTAAGAAAACTACTATGAGACTTAGAATTAATACAACAATCAACACAAAAAAAAAGAGTAAGAACACAAACTAACGCGATCGAAACGGAAAAAAAGCACAGAGAGAAAAAGAGAATCAATGAATTTGTTTCATTTAATGACTTAGATAAAAATTTGATTTAAGTTTACATGACGTTTTAAATTCGCAAGCCGATCGAATAACAAATGCAATACAAGCAAACACAAGTTAAATGATGTTCGTGTATTCGCGCCGCGCGTCAGCATTCGCATAAAAAATAGAAATGCAAACTGCATACTGTGAACATAAATGCGTGTATTCGTTGAGATTAAACGGAGTTTAAATAAAAATTCCATGTGTGAAAAATTCCAAACGAAAATTTAAAACTAAACAAACAAAAATACTAGCGTGTGTGTGTGTTCCAAAAATAAAAAGTCGAGCTCATAGTTGATGAGCTCCCCATCAGTTTCAGAGTAAGATATAAATAAAGTAGAAAAATGAACGTTTATTATGATTTTGTTATGCAAAAAACTCGGAGCTCGGACTGATAACAAATTTGAATACCAACAACACATTCACATATTTTGGAAATATTACCCATCATTGAAACCGAACAAATAAACAGAACGATTGTATATTTAAATTACACAGGAAAACAGTTGTATTGTTCATCTTTTTTCTCATTCAAAACACACACACACATAAAACACATAATTCAAAATGAGGAAACTCACAAACAAACAAAAAAAAAAACACACACACAAACACATCCACTTATTCCTAAGGTTCTTTTAGTAGGTGATAAGAACGAATTTTATTTTTAAAGTGTAAAAAGATCGACAAAAAAGTGAAGAAAAAATAAATGAATAAAAATAAGATGAGAAAAAAACACAACAAATTTAATGCAAAAAAAAAACAAAAACAACACAATATCGAAAAAGAAACCAAATCCATTTGTACACCGTTCACCGTGTGATTGCATTTGGATGTTAGCAAACGTTCGATTAACCCTCTCGGCAACGGATTTTGGACGCAAATGCGATGACGTTTACTTGAATGGCTTTTTAATTAACCGAAATCATCGAATGTGTGTGAAAATCTATCTACCGGCAACTGGTGGAAGCTACAGTGTAGATGATTTTCCAATCAAGCACTTACTCCAATTGACAAAACCGGATACGATGGTTTTTCACATTTTATGCTCTCAATGACTCACAATTTCACACAAAACACAAATCAATCTTATTATGGAAATCAAAGCGATACAAAGTGTGTAAGTAGCTGAAAATGAAACATGTATAAAAAAATGTGAAAAAAAGAAAAGATTTATTAAATACAATGTGCCACATTTGATTATCATTTAGTAATGGAAAATGTAATAGAAAAAACCGAGATACATTTATAGATTTAAACGAACATTATAATCTCAGAATCAAACGATGACAACCTAACAACAACAAAACCACATTCATATTGAAATGCATAAGAAATGAATATCAGTCTATAAATTATAAAGATTTAATTGGAAACAAACACAACAACAAACAAAAACAAACCCGAAAAATAAAGAAAAATTATTTAAAAAAAAAACTCAATTGTCCATATTAATTTGCAATGTTTTTTTACAGGTTTTATTTTTTGGATACTTTTAAAGAGTTTTTAATCAATCTTTATCGCACACTTGACCATTGCAATGGGCTTTGGGAAGCGTATGTATATAGGTAACATCTTAAGAACAATGTCCTATTGAATATCTTTCACCTGTCTTATCTAGAAATAAATACAACTAAAACAAAGCATATTCCTGGTGCTTCTAATTACAGAAAACTTTGAGCGAACCTATTTTATTTCAACAAAGTAAGTTCTTGAGATTAGTTTTGAATTCAAATATCGTAAAACTTTTACGGTAAAAGTATCAGCCGTGTACAACTATTTCATTTGCATTTTAAAATATGGAAAAAATCTAGTTTCACTTCTTCAATTAACTATTAAGATCGTGTTTTCTTGAGAAATATGTATTGTTGAATATCGTTTTTGATATCAGTATATTCTGCTGTTGTGATATCGTGGCCCGTTTTATGAATCATTTCTTCCGCACTCGATTTCGCTGCAATTCATTTTGAAATATTTTTGGACCTTAATTCACCAAATTCAGCCATATTTCAGGCCATTATTACGCTCCATC